AGAGGTGGAAGCTCAGGATGTTTCCAGTTTAAAGCCAAGCTCTTGAGGAAAAAGAATATTTGATAGGTTGTAAAACTGACTGGTATTTGTCGGAAAACATACAAATTTAAACATTAAAAAATCTGTATCCCAGTAACTGTTACTACGTTTTTTGTCAAACACACTTTTTGAGTCTCAGAAAAATCAGTGGTACAACATATCAAAAAGAATGTTTTCCTCCAGAGTCTGGCTCTAAACAAGTTAAAATCAGTCGAATCAAGGAGCGTTCCCGATTATGTCGGGAACATCCACGCAGGACTATGATTGCACTGAAAAGAAGAATGTAGCTACCGTGTAGCGATTTTATGGAAACAGGCTTCAGAATAACTGTTTTTGCCTCGAGTAGAAACGTCCAATGTGAATAGCACAACTCGGTAAAATCTTTTTGAGCCGTGATTTATTTTGCATAATAAAAATTTTCCTTGTGTGCTATTATACAGATATTGCCTGCTTAGAGGTGTAAAATAACATTTGATATCACCGAGGGAATTATTTTTTTTTTTTGAGGGATTATATTTTCCCCGAAGCGCATAGCGCTGAGGGAAAATATAGCCCTGAGAGAAAAATATAATTCCCAAAGGGGATATCAAATGTTATATTACATTGATAGAAAAGGAAATATCAGTTAAATTTCATAGCCAAAAATAGATGCAAATAATTAACTGAACACATTACTTTACATATCAAGAAATTTTATTTAACTTTTACACAATATCTGTTATATTACATAGCCAAAATACTTCATATTACCTTCACTTTTAAAAAATGTTTCTGTAGTGCGTAGCGTTATCATTGATCGTTTAGCGTACAATTCACCGTTTGCTCTCCTTACCTCAGCATAGAATGACCGGAGAAACTCATTGAGCTCTGGTGCTGTTAATTTTTCAATGCAAGTAACTGATGATTTCTTGGCCTTACAATGTTCACTGAGAAGGCCTACATTAACGGATGAATTCACAACAAATTTTGTACACCGAGAATCCTTTTCGTCAATAATTCTGTCCAATTCGTCTTCGTCGAGAGATTTAAACCTATTTGAAGTCGCCATTTTCGAAGCGCTAGGCTTACACCTTTACAATTTGTGAGCGATCGATCGTGCGCTCGACTAGCATTCACTACGGGCGCAATGCAGGTGTAATCCGGTGACGTCAGAGACCGGTCACTTTTCAAAGGGAAATATAACGTTTCCGATCCTCGTAGCGCTAATCACGTGATGCCATTTCGACCAATCACGTACTCGAATTTACATAGGCTATGTAATATAATGGTTTAATAACTTATGTTTTCACATTTTTAATGTACCCACTTGCTTTGTGATAGTTTCAGTAAAATCTATTGCATATTTATATCTAAGTGTGACCAGTAGTACTATTCAGCTGTAGGTAAAGTTGTGCATTTTCTTCGTAAAAATTAAGCAAATGCAAACACATTCAAGAATAATAATATAATAATAATAATTCTTTATTGGTTCTCTAGTAATAGGAAATCGGAAATTCGGGCTGGGTCCCTGGATACCTGCGGCAGCTGCAGTGTAATGCCACCCAACTTAACTGCAGTTCACCCTCCAATTCGAGACCACCTTTGTGACATTAAAATTTGGGGTGGTTTCTGGGTTGGTCTCCAAGTAGAGGGCTAGCTTAAAAGGTTGAAGATTATTATTTGGGTCTTTTGAAAAGTGGTCTCAAATTAGAAGGGTCTCGGAAATTAGAGGGGTCTTGAATTGGAGGGTGCTGTACTACATAACGGATACAAACATTGTCCCACCTAACTCTCAATATGTGGGTTATTCAAGGAGCCAAACGATCGGACTTCAATTAAAATCCGACGCTTGCAAGGTTTAAACAGGGGGATTCAGCCTGAGAAGCAGGAACAATACTGTACCTCTCAGCCAAACGCTCAGCTCTAGAAGATGCTCAGAAATAATATACACATTTAGTGGGCCTATGTACTGGTATTCAACATGGTGAACTTGTACCAAATCATGCTGATTTTGAATAATATCAAATAGTGCAAACATTATACAGTTTATACAATTAATTACATTAATTAAATTTACAATTATAACTAGAGACACTATAAATTATTTATAGTTCTAGTTTACCTGCCAAAAGTGAGTACATTATCCAAGGTACATAATGGAATCATATCTTAAGATATCATGAATATGATAGTAAGTGGTTCGGTAAACTGAGGTATCAATTATGATGCTGTCTATACAATGAAGAAGGTTCATGTTACATAATAATGTACATTAATTTACCATATTTGTTTATAGACAGAGTAATATTGCATATATACAGAGGGCTCCAGGAATTTGCCATTAAGTCTGACAGTGAGGTTTGAAGCGTGATAGGAATAAACTGACAAAGCTGGGTGAGAACGGGTCCCAGTGGAAGAATAATTTAGCTTTTCTCTCTCTTTGAAGCGTAAAAGGAGGCCGTAGGCTAGGGGAGCCTGTGAGCCACAAATTGCCCCCTAGGGCCTTTAGGCAGGAGAAGTTTCACAAGCTGAAATTTGTATATAAAGAATGAACATGTTATTTTTAATCGTTCGACACCAACGCTGGTCAAATTGCTTGTGTCGTAGGACAAGACACCATTTATCAACGTTTGCTTGTCTTCACCCAAGAATATAAATGGGTATCTGGTTGAATGATTTGAAATTAAATTAAATCGCAGACATGAATAGAAATATACTTCCCAGGTAGCAGAGGAGGTTGCACATTTTGTATGTATATGGTTAATTCTGTATCCATTGACCAGGGGAAAATTATTTTTTCTGAAGTGGATATGTGCTCTATAATCAACTATTTATAATACCCAATTCCAAAAAATGAGTTTTTGCAGGCAAACATAATTTTTGCTTTGTTTGTGTTCAACTGTCACAGATGAAAGTGCACATCGTGGCTATGCACATTCATATAGCTTTGTCTAGGAAGCGTCCTTCTCTATCTGAACATCGTGGGCATCAGACTCCTTGCTTATTCATTTTGGTGTTTTTCAAATAAAGCACCAATTCCAAAATGATTTTTATCTGAAGTGGATAAGCTCTATAATAATAGTTAAATATGTATTTGTGCCAATTCCAAAAATCGTGTTTTCCTGAAATGGATGTGTGCTCTTTAATATTCAAATATATAATGCGCCAATACCAAGAAATTGATCAAAGTCGCGGTTAACCTTAATGTTTTTGTCCCTGTGACTCGTGAGCTTGATGGGAATTCAATTTTAGTCATGAATCGTCGCATTTGTAAGCATAGTCTTATTACGACCCAATTTATCACTCACAATAGTATTGAGTTGGCCTAGGGCTGACTTATCTCTGACCGAGTCAACCCGTTTACATTACAATAATCAGGCTGCCTTAGGGCCAATATTGCGCATTTGCAGAAAATTTCGTTCTTGAATCGGGTTCACAATTGCAGGACAGGAAGTTTGCATGACAGGTCAACGGGCATTTAAATGTTTAATTTCTGACACGTAAACGATGATGGAAATTTTAGTGCTTAAATATAAACCAAATAAAAATATTTAAACCTTTTTTAACATTTTTAATTAATATTGTCATCATTATCATTAATATTGTTATTTTAATAATTATTAATTTATGCAGCCTCCACTCTCTCACTCTATCAATCTGTATATTAATTGTTGTATGCGGTCTTCTGTCCATATTTCTCTTGATATATTTTGGAAACTTTTTCGGTTTTGCAATTTATCACTATCAGGCAGACGTTGACCTTGAAGTGTGATTGGTCAATGGAGAGTCAAATGTCAGATTAAAAGTACAGCTTATATTTAAAGTTGGCAAGGTTTTCCGCAATGTAGGACCTGAACTGACTTAAATGTTAAAGCAAATTTAGGTCATACCGAAATTAAAATTCTATACCTACTTTGCATTATGGGTTAAGTCAAACGTGGTTTGGCCCAGAATTGATTTAACTCTAGGGCTGTTTTCACATATTTAGTGTAAATTGGGTCACTTTAGGATGTGGGAGTCTGTGCATAAATGTTAAGAAATTTGTTCTGTTGTGTACATGCATTTGCATATACAGTTGATTACCGTAAATGATCTAAGAACTGCTCCCGAATAAGCACTGTGCCCCTCATATTTAATTTTGAATAAATGTTATGATGCATATTCAGTAGCACACTACAAAGTGCCTGGATATTTCATGAAATTATTATACTAACTTTGCAGTATGCTATGTGCAACATATGATTCTATTTAACTCTCAAACACTTTGTGAGAAGTGCCGCTCTTGAAAAAGTTCATCTCTACTTTTTTTATGCACCGCACTGAACTATCAGAAAATAATAAGCGCTGTTATATATTATGCAATTATAGTCATGTTTTGAGGACCCTATGGAAAATAGAAGCTGAAGAGCCATTATTTCCTGAAAAAATTTGTTGAAGGAAATAATGGCTCCTAAGGCTTCTATTTTCTATAGGGTCTGAAATAACTTGACTATAATTGCTTTTTAAATCAGTCACCCAGTTTTATATAATTATATTTAGGCTATATATTAAGTCAAACCGGTTACGATGAACACTTCTCAGTGGACTATATAATAACTGCACATATGAGAATGATTTACTTGTAGTATTCTTCGCGATATGATGAAGACGAGTACATTGATTGTTGATGAAGTTTAGGTAGGCCTAAACTTCTGGTAGACATTAGTTCAAATCGATTAAAATATATTGTAAACATTTAAATGGAAACGATGGATAGACACAATTAAAGATACTTTAAATAGGAATAACATGCCCACCTTCCAAGAATTAAGAAATAGCGGTGAGATGTTAGACAGACAAAAATGGAGAGAGAGGCTAGCACCACTGACAGGCGGAAGCCTACCTGGGAGCTGAAGTAAGAAGTAAGAAGTAAGTAATTTAAATTATGAGTTATTTCAGCATTGTCTTTTCAGTCCAAAAGTCAATTGTCTTGTTATCTCATAACCAATGCCCTTCTAGGCCTTGCCAAGTATTGGTCTACGCTTCATTTGTGTTAACCAGTGCAAATTTGATTGAGATTTCTTAGGTCTGCTCTGTGTGGGTTCAGAGCTAGGCTAGCAGCAATGAATTGTTCATCGCGATGTAAAACCCCTGCTTTTATTAAGCTTTCTGCGAACGAGATGCAAAAAATCGGAGGCACTATATCGAATTAGTGATTCATTGGGGAAATGTTCAAATGAAAATGATGACTTATAAGTAATCAAACAATAAGAAAACGGTAGCACTTTATAGACTAGTTGAAATATGTATTGTCACAAGCTTTCGTGTACACAGTACACTTCTTCAGGTGAATGATAAGAGAGCAACATGCAATCGAATATAAAAGGTCTAAAACAAAAGGCAAGTAATAAAAACAATGGAGGCATTAACATAACAATGAAATCATTCCCTGTAGTGGGCAAGAAAGCCATAGTCTTTGTTTAAACCCAAGTTTACACAGTCAAGTTGCTTAATTATTTTCTGTTCACAAATTTCCCTATCTAGATTGTTCTTAAAATTACCCTTCTTAACTACAGCAACTCTAAGATTATTGATAGTGTGACCTGTGGAAGTGAAATGTTCAGCTACAGGTTTCTTAATTAACTTGTGTCTAATGTCAAACTTGTGACCATTAATTCATTTCTGAGAGTTTGGCCAGTTTGACCAATATAAACAGCATATATTGCACTTAATGGCATAGATGATGTTAGTGGATGAGTAAGTGAAGTGTCCTTTGATGTTGATGATATAGCCATTGGGTCCAAGTATGTGACTTTCAGAATGAATAAGATGGCAAAGCTCACATTTAGTGCTGTGACAAGGAAAAGTGGCATTGATAGGGATAGACTGAGAAAATTTACTAGAGATAAGATGCCTTTTAACCCTCTAGATACCGTCTTCGACTGTAGTCGAAATTGACCTCAAACCGAGAATTCCCATTTTATTTTCGACTGCAATCGAAATTTCGTGACTAAAAAATAGGTGGTTTTCAAATCGCTCTTCTGTTTTTATTTTAGCTCCAATACGTCAGATATTTTGAACACGCATGTGTGAAGCTTTAGTCTTTCGAAATCTGTGAAGAACTCACATGCGCTTATATAAAAATGTTTAGAAATATCAATTTGAAATCGTTATTAATTTCAAAA